ATTGAACACATTTTTCGTTATATGTTTTTTCTCTAATTTAATTGCAGAGAAAAGAGTTGATTTAATTACAAACAAAAATGTTTAATAATAATTATGTTAATGTTCAGCGAATATATCGTATTATATACAACTAATGATGAAAGCATTTGATGAACATTTTAAAGAGAGTATTAATTACTTAAATTGAATTTTTTGATTTTTGAATAATTAATTACTGGGAAATAGTATTTGAGTTAAATTTTGAGATGGTGAAAAAAATTTTGTTCAGAAATAGTGGTTTTGTTTGAGAAATAAAAAATATTTATATACGTTATATAACTTTATATATAGAAAACTTTGAGTCGATTTAAAATTAAATAGAAGATCAATAAATAAAATAAAAAACTACTGAAACGATACACAGAAAAATTTATTTACAAATAAAAACGCGAGATAAAAAAGCAAACTTAAAAACTTGGAGATAGAAATTGAGTTAAAATATATTTTCCATATTTTGTAAATAAAAATTCCTTCACTTTTGATATATAAATACAAACCCAAAGAAAGAAAGGGAGAGACGGGAGAAATACACAGGATTTTTAAATGTATTGCAAAATGTTTTGCCCAAAACATCCAAAAGAGTGGTTAAAACTCCACATTTGACTGAATTTGTTGTGAGAAATAATAATTTTGGGAAATAAGAGAAGTTCTGCCTTATTATCATTGTCTCAATTGTTTATTTGTGTCGCAAAATAAGTGACTTATTTGTTGGGTTTTGTCACACATAGACGTGAATCAATCGGAAATGAATGTAAAATTATTATATATTTTTGTGTTAAATATAACTTCTTTTTTATTCGTTTACGGATTATATAAAAAATCGCACAAATTATTGAAAACATTCAGAAAAATGTATTGAAATTTAATAACGAGATAATAATAGCACCGAAACGTCCCTTAATTTGTTTTCCATAATAATATATAAACAATTAATTTAACCATTTTTCATAACTATATATATTTTATATATTTGTTATCATAATTTCATTTTAATTATACAAAAGGCGTAGAAAATAACTGTTATTTTATGTGTTTAATAGTCCAACAAAAAAATTATTGTTATTATTATTATTACTTTAGTTTTGTCCTTAAAATGTGTATCGATTTTTATGCCTCTCAGGAGTTTTCTATTCGCGATTATGTCTTTAAATTGTGTGCATTTTTCAGACACATTCTGTCGGTTCAAGCGTTGGTATTGATTGATAAATAGAAAAATGAGCTAAACTTTCGTTTGGTTTGTATTTTGTGTGTTTTCACAACAAATATAATTATTGTAATTATCTTAAAGAGCAGTTCCAGCGGTGGTGGCGGTGACGGCGGCCAGTCGTCCGCTCCGGTCGTCATATCAAACGGCGTGAAACTGCGGATCAGATTTGGAGGCGTAATACTGATTGACAGGAGGCGGTGGCGGCACTTCAAACACCTGCTGCTGGAACTGCTGAGACTGTTGTGGCTGTTGTTGTAGTTGTTGTTGTTGTTGCAGTTGCTGGTGATGGAGATGCTGCTGATGGCACGCGTATGCCATCTGCTCTTTAGGCATCCGATACTTGATTATACAGACGGCGTCTGTGAACGCTATTATTGTGATGCACAGCATATATAACATACCTGTGCGAGGGTTTGGGTGTGTTTTTTAGCAATTATCGGTGGTTTACGTGGTTTGATGGGGTGGTCGTTAGGGACACAACATGTTTTGGACATAGGATTATAGCGGAGAATATGAGATAGGTGTGGAGGAAAACGATGGGTGGAGAGAGAGAGAGAGTTAAAAACTGAACGGAGAGGAGAATCGCTAAATGTATTTCATTTACTACTGTTTGTGTTTATTTGTTTGCTTGCTTTTAATACATGTTTTGTTTATAATAAATTAACCTATAATATTGTTTGGCATAAAAATAATATATTAAATAATTAAATTAAGTACAATTCCGGAGTAAAATAAAGCGTTATATTATTTGATATAAAAATATTTTTTGTATTTGAATTAAATTATTTGCTATAATTTGTCGCTTATATGAAAAATAACAAATAAAATTAATTTTCTAAAAATTAGTGATTAGATTAGACTCTAATCATTAGAGTTAATAAATTTAATTAATTTTTATAAATATTGATAAAAACCAAAAACTGGGCTACAAACAAATTCTATATCTTATCAAACGAAATATAAAACAAAAACTGTTATTCAAATAAGAGAGAGAGAGAGAGAGAGAGAGAGAGAGTAACGGTTAATTAGATTTTATTTAATTATTTTCAAACAAATTTTTGTGTATTAGTCTGGGATTTGTTGAGCAAATAATTAGATTTTAGGTCTAAATGAATGCAAAGTTTGAGCGTTAAGTAAAATTCCGGGAAAATGTATTTCATTTACTACTGTTTGTGTTTATTTGTTTGCTTGCTTTTAATACATGTTTTGTTTATAATAAATTAACCTATAATATTGTTTGGCATAAAAATAATATATTAAATAATTAAATTAAGCACAATTCCGGAGTAAAATAAAGCGTTATATTATTTGATATAAAAATATTTTTTGTATTTGAATTAAATTATTTGCTATAATTTGTCGCTTATATGAAAAATAACAAATAAAATTAATTTTCTCAAAATTAGTGATTAGATTAGAGTTAATAAATTTAATTAAATTTTTATAAATATTGTTAAAACCAAAAACTGAGCTACAAACAAATTCTATATCTTATCAAACGAAATATAAAACAAAAACTGTTATTCAAATAAGAGAGAGAGAGAGAGAGAGAGAGAGAGAGAGAGAGACGTGTGAACAGAATACTAAAACAATAATATTTATTTGAATTCGCATTTTTGTGAAATACATTTATATTTAAAGTCAATATTTACCCCAAAGATCACTTTGATATTGAGATGAGACGGTATTACCGAAAAATATCAATAGGACTGTGAGCGCCATTAACCACCCAAACAGTATCAGTGTTTTCAAGTGTTGAGTGGCGGCCGATATGAGTCCCACCACTAGTATTAGGTCTAATAAGACGAATACAACGGGCGAATAGTCCGGTGACGGCATGTATGGGAAACCGACCAGTTTTAGGATTGATATTAATATAAACAGTACTATCGATAGGGCTAATAGTGTTCGACTAAATTGTATACAAATTATTGTCTTTGCCATCACTTCATAATAACAATAATATTAATTTATTAAATATTACTTATGATGCGATATCCGAGTCGATTACAGTGGTCACAGTTAAGTGACATTTATTTATTATTTATATTATAATATCGTTTGCAAACATTTATAATACATAACGAACCGAATCTCGTTGTTGTTGTCTTCATAATTCAATTCAATTCTTGTTTAGAAAATCAATTTGAATTGAAAAACATTTTTTTCGCTGTTATTATTGGAATAAAATTCTTGAACACAATTCTTGTTGAGAACACACATTGAGAGCAGAGGTAATACACATACAAAAAGACATACATATATATCTATAAGATATATATTAGGTATATATAGTGAGAGAGTGAGTGAGAGAGAGAGAGAAAGAGAAATAGAGAGAAAAAAGTGATTGTAATTCTCTCACTCTTTTTACGACATTTTATTACTATTATTATTCTTTGTATTACTATATTCTTTATACGCTTTTATTCTTCGGATCCATTCTCTGTCTCTCCTCTTCATATCCTTCGTCTATTCTTCTCCATCTCTTTTACACACAATTCTTCGCCAATTTATTCTTCGCTTCAGTTTTTTATTATTTTTCTTCGTTTCACTAAATTCTTCCCTTTTTCTCGCGATTCTCCTCTCCGTTCAGTTTTTAACTCCCTCTCCCTTAACACGAGTCAAAACTGACTGACTCTCTGTTACTCTCAATCTCTCGAAGAAAGAGAGAGACACTGAGAGAAAGAGAGATAAGAAAATTAAAGCAAAACTCTATGAGAGAAATACAGTATATATGTGTGTATATATGTGTTTATGTGTTGTATTCACTCGCACTGTGTATATACAGTACAGTAATAGTGTGTTGAGTGCGAGTATGGAGTGAGAGAGCAATGAATGCGAGCGAAGAATATTCTGTGATATGTAGAGAACGGGTGCACTCACTCTATGCCACACTCGCCTTCACTACTCACACACACACACTGTATGCTTGCGATTGTAAACTAAGAGCACTGAAAGAGTGAGGAGAGAGAGAGAGAGAGAGAGAGAGAGAGAGAGAGAATGGAATGAATAACAGGAATGAGAGCCAAAACAGAGAAGAAAGAGACGGCGAGAGAGTTATTGAGAGAATGGAAGGAGAGATAGAGAGAGGAATGAAATCGATTCGATCACTTGAAAATGTTTTCATTGTAATCGCTGTCGCGTTCTCTCCATCTCTCACATTCCTCTACCACTCGCTTCTTAAGCTCTCTCTCTCTCTCTCTCTCTCTCTCTCTCTCTCATTGACTCACCCGCACACACATATACAGTGTGTCTCTCACGCCAGAGAATGTATGTGTTCTCTCAATTCTAGGCGATGAGAATCCACGCCTACTATTGAGTTATTCCTGTAGTTATACTACTCTTTGTGTTTCACTACACATAACAGTTTTACATAAGAGAATGGGAGCACACAAACACTGTCCTCTCTCTCTCTCTCTCTCTCCCTCTCCTTTTCACTCTTTTCTCGCAATACTATCAGTGCAGGCGATGCGAGGATTTGCTCTTCACACAAGTCGATACGATTCGAGAGAGAGAGAGAGAGAGAGAGAGAGAGAGAGAGAGAGAGAGAGAGAGATGTTAATGAGAATGAATAGTAGGAATATAAGGATATGGTGTGAGATATCCGCAGATATATTGAACTTATTTTGAAAGGCAATTCTTGAGGCGACGCTCTATTGGTCTTTAATGACAACATTATTACCCATTCGTATGACTGAATGCAATCATATTTTCGGTCCTTTTATATCCTATTTTTCGTCTATGACTGCACTTTGAGGTCTCGAATATAAATTGAATGGCATTTTGTCTCTCGTTTTTATTGCATTTTTATTTGCTGTAAACAACGGCCCAATAAATTACTCATTTTATTTTTTTTCGCTATATTAATGCTTAATCTCTATTAAATTAACTGTCAGTTTAATGAAATAATTGAAGTATAAACACAACACATTGAGAATCCAAATGCGTGTTCACTCACTCTTTCCCTGTGCTATCATATCGTTTATATCGCATCCCTATCTCTCCCATTCATTCTTCACTCCAATCCCTTTGCCATCCTTTTCTCCTCCTCGTACTCACAGTGCATATCATTAAACAATTTATTTTTGTTTGAGTGACACTTCTTTTTGTATAAAATGATTATATTTTGTCTCTCCATTTGTTAGTCGTTTTAAGCGTTTTCACTCTATATTATTATTATTACTATTACTAACGATTGCCTCTGTTTTAAGTGAGTTCTCAAACAACATATAATACATCAATCGATTTCTTTGAATGTAATTTAATTCGCTCTCTCTCTCTCTCTCTCTCTCTCTCTCAAAATTTAACTCAAATACTATTTCCCAGTAATTAATTATTCAAAAATCAAAAAATTCAATTTAAGTAATTAATACTCTCTTTAAAATGTTCATCAAATGCTTTCATCATTAGTTGTATATAATGTTATATACGATTATATAATACGATATATTCGCTGAACATTAACATAATTATTATTAAACATTTTTGTTTGTAATTAAATCAACTCTTTTCTCTGCAATTAAATTAGAGAAAAAACATATAACGAAAAATGTGTTCAATCTTTGGTAACCATTAGAGCAAAGAATTTCTGCTAATTATGTCGAAAACACTAATAATATTACATAAACTCGTCTGCGATATAACGACGAAAAACATTATTTAGTATTGATTTTGGCAACAATTTTTCATAAGCTTTGGCCCAAGAGATGTCATATAAGATAATAAAGTCTTCAGATTATCATTTTTGTGCTAAATATTTGATGCATTGTTTGTATGGAAAACACACGGCGTGTAAATGTATACAAAAATATTTGTATTTTTATTTTGCATTAATAATTAAAATTCTTTGGAGAGAAAAGGCAGCTAAACATTCCCTTTAATTAAATACTTGTCTCTGTTTTTGAAATTTTTACATTATTTAAATTATTTATTTAATTTTTGCATCAATTTCTCTGCAGTTTTAAACCCAAAAACACAACATAATTATTATTTAAATTATTCATTGCTAGATGTATTTTTCGTTACAACTATTCATCAAGATTAATACTGAATTTAATCTCAAAATTGCTAGAATAGAAGCTAGTTTTTAAAATAGATTACCCCTGGACATTTGAGGTCATTTAACAATGGAGTACAAGCAAAATAACAGATACTCATATTGTTATAAACCATATTAGAGTTAAATTGAATTTACTTTCAATTCAATTGAATGTATATATATATTGATGAAATAGTTCTTCTTCTTATTCTCGTTCACTTCTAGTGATATGAATAGTCTGATAGAGTATATGAGCCCTACATGTGAGCGCTATAACCAGAATCATACCTCTAAGTGCTCTCTAAATGGTTTAAAAATATAATCTCATTTCCCATATAATGTTATACAGAAATCGCGAATGAAAAGAGTTTTTCTATTCAAATGGCTTTTAGAGAGAATAGAGAGAAAAAGAGCACATTTTAGCGGCTTTTTAGATGAGATGAGGCATCAAATTTGTTTTGGATATAAATGCCTTTTAAGGCTTCCCTCTTATGTATCTGTATATATATATCCAGAATATTCAGTCGATTCCACATATGTTTACAAATATAAATAGTCTTTCGTTTTTCGGTTGTATTCGTTGTAATGGTTTCGCAGATATATAGACAAGAAATGGGCACAACTTTGGGGTTAATTGATGTTGGATTGAGGTATTAGTTATCCTTTATTAGATGCCATTACGACGAAAGCATTTCTTTATATTTTGTTTCGGTAACCATTTATTTCATTTCGTCAGACGTTTTGCCCAAAAAAACTTTCCGCTTTTATTTCATATATATTTATATTTGTGACTGATTTATACCGATTTGAAACTTTTAAAACTATTAATTCACTTTTTATTTGGCCATTATTTTAATGTCTTATTTACTTAATCCATTCGTGCCATTAGTTTTGTGGCCAGTATTTTGAAAAAAGTGTATACAAAACACACACACTGTATGTATATAACAAATATTTTCTGCAAACAGTAAAGCCCTCATCCCTTTTAACCATAAGTCCATAACCAATCGATAATAACGGGGATTTGACTTTAGGTTAAAGTCAGTCAAACAAAAATTATTTACAAGACGTGAATAACAAGATGTCTATTGAATGCAAAACTAAAAATTTACTCCATTTTTATATAATATTTATCTAATGAAAAACTTCTTTACTATCCACCAGAAAAATAATACATGAACTTTTAAATTAGGTTTCAGTCTCTCTCTCTCTCTCTCTCTCTCTCTCTAGTCGTATATTCTGTTCTCAATTATGAGTCTCTGAGTGGATATCTCTTAAAACTCCAAATACTGGATGACATAGTGAATATAAACTATTTGCTAAACGAGATATTCAAATGAAAATCTAATGAACAGTAAATTTTTCAGTCAATCGTCTCTCTCTCTCTCTCTCTCTCTCTCTCTCTCTCTGTCCCCGCAAAAGAGATAATAAAATTGGAAACCATTAAAGAAAAAAGTCATTCAATAGAAAACTTTCTTTTTTATTGCATTCAAGTTTTTGCTCATTTATTTAATGAATAAAAAACTTTATTTTCTTACATAAAATGTTTTTCACTTGATTTTTGTTTCTTTTCTTCATTTTTCTCTAATATATATTATTTCTCTAAAATAAGAGACATTTTTCTTAAATAACAGCTGAAAACGACTTTTAATAAATCATTATTTTCTAATACTCAACACTTTTCTCGCAGTTATGTTTATCAAAGAAATATTTATTTCAATACATTGTATTGATTGGTATAAATATCTCTGGCTTTTAGTTTTGTTTATAATATTTAATTGAATGGAAAAAAGTTTTGCCATCAATTTGAACACACTTTTGAAGTTTTGAACGTATATTTCAACATTTATTTTGAACGGCTATACCATTGATAGCAATAATACGATTCAAATGCACTGGACTTCAAAAACTTTC